TATATATATATATATATATATATATATATATATATATCTAATATCTAAGTGACGCAATGAATATCGATTTCTTTTAAATATTCCATCGAACCGTTACGATGACAATCGACAAAATTAGATTGATATTGTAATACCGACAAAAATAAATACAATTTTTTCCGATTTACTGGACTAGATTGCATTAACATGGAACACGAAATAGTTCAACAAGTTGGTTAAAAAATTAACAACAAGTTAATGCTAATGTGTGCAAAAGGAAATATTGTGAATTGAAAAGATATTAAAAATTTTTAATGGTTTTTGTCGAGAAGCACGGATGGATCAGGTGAAGGCCCCGTTCAGTTTGCGTCGTGGCGTGCCAGTTCCATACTATCCAGCCAGTCAGATCGCCGTCGGCCGCCCTTAATTATCCACGTAAATAATATTAACGCTTCCACTCGTCGCAACGGCGGGCAAAAATTTATGCGATGCTTCTTCTTTCCTCCGTCTTCATTTCTCTTTGCAGTCTTTACCGTCCAGACATTTTTTTTTAGCTACAATTTTTTCTGTTAAACTATGCACTGATTATAAGATTTTTCATTTATTTAATTTTATTGGCTATTTATTTTTAGAAAATCTTTCTATTAATATGTTAAAAAATAAATTTAATAACTTAAAAATATATCGGAAAAATCTCCACTAGCGAGAGAGCGTAGCCACCTAGCGGCAAAACCAAAAACTAACTTTATTTATGCAGTACTGTAAAATAAAATTATTTTTATTATTAAAATTGATAAGAACCATAATTTAAATTTAAAATTTGATACTTAAAAAATCAAAAAATATTTTATTAAAAAAAAAAATAAAAAAAAAGATTAAGTTGTGTAGTCTATTTAATTATTATAAAAAAATAGTAAACAAATAAAAAAGGGCGATCCCAAGTCCTTTTTGCTCGCCGCAATGGAATGATTAAATAAATTAGTCGACAAAGTCCAGGTGAGTGCAAGAAAGTGAGCGAGAGAATGGAAAGAATGAGGCTGAAAAAAAAAAAGGTAAAAATAACCGGAGAAAATGAAAAATAAAAAATAAATAAAGTCCGGATGACTGGATGGGATTCGTACGAGGGTAATCCCCATTGAATTCCTCCTAATTATGCACGGTTTACCACCACGGCTACCAGCGAGCAGCGAGCGCTCAGTAGAGATTCACCTTAAAAATAAATGAAAATAAAATGGCGTTGGAGCGCATGGTATAGGACGAAAAATAAGCTACACATCCTTACAATAATCACACACGAGCACTCCTGTGTTGTACTTTATAAGAATGTGTGTAAGGTTGTTCGTTGTTCCTCGTGTACCCTTTATATTATTATATCGTGCTTTCTCACTTACATTTACGCCGGCGTTTTACCAACAAATTCAATAAGAATATATCATATTTAATGCACGCCCAGAGCTCTGAATCTTTCGACCCGGGCGACAGGCACAGGCCAGAATTATTCTTTTTTCTTTTTAGGGCTTGAAAAATTTTTTACTGGGCTAAAAAAAGTTCTTTGGAATTCAAGAAATTTTTTTAAATTGATACGAAAAATCTGGATTAAGAAAATTATTTTTGATTGGAAAAGAATTTATCCTTTAATTAAGCTAAAATAATTTTTATTAATAAGTACAGCAGGTGGAAATTTAATAAATAATTATTTTAGTTTAAAAAGTAAATTTTTGAATTAATTATATTAATTTTATTGGCTTGAGAATAATTATTTTTGCTAAGAGATATTTTAATATAAATTTGACACGTCAGAAAAGCTAAAAGTCTCAAGTTATGCTTTTCCTAATTTAAATACTTAAATTTTGTAATTCTAACTGCGAGAATTGCAGCCACCTAGTGGAGATTTTTTAAACTAACTTTCTAAAAAATTCTGCTATCAGTTTAGTTTTAATTTTTGTTAATAATATATAATTTTGGAGAATTTTTAATCTCTATTTTCATGAAATAACATTGATAATAAAAATAGTTTTATTTTACAGCACTGCTTAATTTAAATAAAGTTAGTTTTTGGTTTTGCCGCTAGGTGGCTACGCTCTCTCGCAAGTGGAGATTTTTCCGATCTATTTTTAAATTATTAAATTTATTTCTTAACATATTAATAGAAGAATTTATTAAAAATGAATAGCCAATAAAATTAATTAAATATTTTGAATTTTGCAAGTCCCTTACCGATATTTTTGAAAAGTGCCGATCTTATGGTATCTTTGGATTCGGGATGGCCTATAGAACCGATTTATCAAAAAAAAAGTACCGATTTTCGTATCAGATCGGTAACTATTGCCGATTTTGTTCAGAGATGCCTTGAAAGTTGTAAAAATGCCGACAATCGGGAATATGGTAAAAAATTATGCTAATTATTATTTTTTTATTGGAGACAGTACTATAAGTAAAATAATATGGTTAAGCAATAAAAATAAATTATTTAATTTAGCATAAATCATTTATTATTTTGCCATTACAATAAGTGAATTATAGATAACAATTACTTAAAATGTTAAGAGTATGATATCTTTTTTCTCACAAATAATAAGAGTGTAAGGAATAAGGTTTCTCATCATCAACTTTACTAAAGAGTATTCGCTACCAGTCTCGATTGCCATCGCTTGATTAGTTAATAGATCGATATCAATCAAGTGGTTGATATTTTTGAACTTGTAGAATATTAACGAACCTACAAAAAATACTTTTAAGTAGTAAAATACATCGTATGAAATGATAGTCTAAATATTAATAGCTTTACCCTCTTGAGTTAAGATAAACATAACATCAAACTTAATTACACAGTTAGAAATATGAAGGAAAGTATTTACTCCTTGAATTGATTTTGTCACAAAGTCATATTCTTCGTTTTGAGTTTCTGTTTTCAGTGCGATACAAAAGTCTCTTTCTAGTGAATAAAAAATTACAATTATGTACATTTTAAAGATTGTTTATATTTACAATTGTTCCGCGCTGGAACTGATTGATATTCATCTGCAATATTGCAGAAAAACGATCCGTACATATCCTGAAAATCCGAACAGTTCAATAAGTTGTTGAGATCACTTACCACTATAGGCAGTAACGACGTAAGAATTGTGGATCTTGATTTTTGCTTTACATTCTATTCTCTCATCGAAATGAAAAATCTGCTTACACTGTGATAAACTTATGACCCTGGGCTCATTGGATCCGTTCTGAATGTCCGTCTGGCTGAAGTAGAAGTTATTTTTGCTTCCTAATACAATCATAATCTAAAAAATATTTAAAAAAAAATTTTCAACTTTCCCGCTAAAAGCCTGCACAGTAGTGGAACTTAACTACAAAACCGACTGATTTGTATCCAATACGAATTATTTTGACCTTTGGTAGTACTCGTTCCAAAAAATAGACAATAATTATGCAATTAAAAGTTATTTTCTAAAAACACGTACTGCGCATGTGCCTGAGTTGTTCCAAATGTTCCATTAGTGGACACTTTACTACAAAAACAACCGATTTACATGCAATATGATTTATTTTGAACTTTAGTAGTACTTGTTCCAAAAAATAGACAACAATGATGCAATTAAAAGTTATTTTCTAGAAACACGTACTGCGCATGTGCCTGACCCGAGAAAAAATGTTTCTATATAATCATATATAATTGTATATGATCATATATGATTATATATGGAATCACATATATAATTATATAGAATTATATATAATCATATATAATTATATATAATCATACATGATTATATATGGAATTGTGTATGAGATTATATATAATCATATATAATTATACATAACTATATATGGAGCTATACACAGCCATGCAAGATTATATATAATCATACATGATTATACAGGGTGTCCCAGAAGTCACGCACTTCCTTGTAGGGATCGAAAGAGGAAATTATTCTGAGACGAAAAGTCCTCAGCCATTTTTTAATCAGACGTATAGATAATTAATTATTAATTAATGAAAGTGACCAATCAGGAGCGCGCGACAGAAGAATAAGAAGTGAGAGAGAAGGCGGTAAGAGACGTGAGAGTGAGATGCCAGAGCTACTGCCGGCGTCTCAAGCAGTAGACACCCGAGAAAAAATGTTTCTATATAATAATATATAATTGTATATAATCATATATGATTATATATAATTATATATGGAATCACATATATAATGATATAAAATTATATATAATCATATATAATTACATATAATCATACATGATTATATATGAAATTGTATATGAGGTCATATATAATCATATATAATTATATAGAATTATATATAATCATATATAATTACATATAATCATACATGATTATATATGAAATTGTATATGAGGTCATATATAATCATATATAATTATATAGAATTATATATAATCATATATAATTACATATAATCATACATGATTATATATGAAATTGTATATGAGGTTATTTATAATCATATATAATTATATATGACTATATATAGAGCAACATACAGCCAAGCAAGATTATATATAATCATACATAATTATATATAATCATACATGATGATATATGGAATTGTGTATGAGGTTATATATAATCATATATAATTAGATATGACTATATATGAAGCAATATACAGCCATGCAGAATTATATATTGTTCCATATATAATTATATATAAATATATATAATTATATATAATCATACATGATGATATATGGAATTGTGTATGAGGTTATATATAATCATATATAATTAGATATGACTATATATGAAGCAATATACAGCCATGCAGAATTATATATTGTTCCATATATAATTATATATAAATATATATAATTATATATAATCATACATGATGATATATGGAATTGTGTATGAGGTTATATATAATCATATATAATTAGATATGACTATATATGAAGCAATATACAGCCATGCAGAATTATATATTGTTCCATATATAATTATATATAAATATATATAATTATATATAATCATACATGATGATATATGGAATTGTGTATGAGGTTATATATAATCATATATAATTAGATATGACTATATATGAAGCAATATACAGCCATGCAGAATTATATATTGTTCCATATATAATTATATATAAATATATATAATTATATATAATCATACATGATGATATATGGAATTGTGTATGAGGTTATATATAATCATATATAATTATACATAACTATATATGGAGCTATACACAGCCATGCAAGATTATATATAATCATACATGATTATATATGAAATTGTATATGAGGTTATTTATAATCATATACAATTATATATGACTATATATAGAGCAATGTACAGCCAAGCAAGATTATATATAATCATATATAATTATACATAACTATATATGGAGCTATACACAGCCATGCAAGATTATATATAATCATACATGATTATATATGAAATTGTATATGAGGTTATTTATAATCATATACAATTATATATGACTATATATAGAGCAATGTACAGCCAAGCAAGATTATATATAATCATATATAATTATACATAACTATATATGGAGCTATACACAGCCATGCAAGATTATATATAATCATACATGATTATATATGAAATTGTATATGAGGTTATTTATAATCATATACAATTATATATGACTATATATAGAGCAATGTACAGCCAAGCAAGATTATATATAATCATATATAATTATACATAACTATATATGGAGCTATACACAGCCATGCAAGATTATATATAATCATACATGATTATATATGAAATTGTATATGAGGTTATTTATAATCATATACAATTATATATGACTATATATAGAGCAATGTACAGCCAAGCAAGATTATATATAATCATATATAATTATACATAACTATATATGGAGCTATACACAGCCATGCAAGATTATATATAATCATACATGATTATATATGAAATTGTATATGAGGTTAT